TGCAAATAATGATAGTTTAACTTCTTCTTTACCTAATCTTATTCTTTTTATTTTTCTCCCTTGTCTAATGGCTCTAGCTAATGGTTCCAGAACTATAGTGAGTAAGAGTGGTAATAGAGGACATCTTTGTCTTGTGCATGATCTGAGAGTTAAAGATATCAGTTTTTCTCCACTTATAATTATGTTAGCAGTTGGATTGTTATATATGGCATTTATCAGATTGAGGTAGAGGCTATCTATTCCAATTTTCTGTAGGACTTTGATGAGTGTTGAACTTGTCAAAACCCTTTTCCGCATCAATTGAGATGACCATGTGGTTTTTGGATTTGACTGTATTGATATAGTGTGTTATATTTATGGATTTGCATATGTTGAACCATCCTTGCATCCCTGATGAATCCTACCTGGTCATGGTGTATAATCTTCTCAATGATTTGCTGCATTCTATTTGCTAGGATTTTATTGAGGATATTTGCATCTATGTTCTTGAAGGAGATTGGCCTGTAGTTCTATTTTTTTTGTTGAATCTTTCTCTGGTTTTGATATCAGTATGATACCTGCCTGGCATAGGAATGACTTTGGGAGTAATGCTCCTTTTCATAGTCATTGAAGAGTTTGGGAGTATTTGAATTATATCTTCTGTAAATTTCTTGTAGATTTCATCTGTGAATGCATTAGGACCAGGACTTTTCTTTGTCAGTAAGTTTTTTATTACATTTTTAATTTCATTGGTTGATATTGGGTTATTGAGAGTTCTTACATCTTCTTGATTCAGTTTTGGAAATTTGTACCTTTCTAAAAATCTATCCATTTCTCTATATACACAATTCTGTGACAGTAAAGATTTTTAAAGTAGTTATTGATGATCTTCTGAATTTCCATAGGATCTGTAGTAATTTCACCATTTTCATTTCTTTTTGCTTGAATTTGTGTATTTTTATTTCCTTTTTTCATGAGGTTAGCTAACTGCTTATCAATTTTATTTAGTGTTTTGAAGAACAGGCAGAGGAGAGGGCTCAGTAGAACAAGTGCTTCCCTGGCAAGCACAAGGGTCTGAGTTCAATATCCGTTTCTGACAAAAGAAAAAGAAAAAGAAAAAAAAAATGTCTTACATAGTTGGATGCTCCTGTGTTTAATGCATACATATTTATCACTATTATCTCTTCATTTTCTATTTTTCCCCTAACCACTATGTAGTGGCCTTCTTTATTTTATTTTATCACTCTTGGTTTGAAGTTCAGATTGTCTGCAAACAGGATTACTACCCTCATTTTTTTCTGAGGTCCTGGGGTATGTAATATTGTTTTCCATCCTTTGACTTTTAACCTGTGAATTTCTCTATAGGTTAAGTGTGTTTCTTGTATGCTGCATATTGTTGGATTTTGCTTTCTAATCCACTCTGCCAGTCTATTTCTTTTAATTGATGAGTTGAGTCCATTTACATTGATCATTGTAATTGTGATGGATTGACTTGTGTTTGACATGTTGTTTTCCTGCTGTTTAGTTACCTATTTTTCTGCTGTATTTAAATGTGTGTCCTATTTGGTGGATTCTTTTCCTTCTAATTCGTGGACTTGTGGTCATTTTGATCCCTCTCTAGAATATCTTTTAGTAGTCTATGTAGGGTTGGCTTTGTTGTCATGAAATTCTTTAGTTGTTCTTGTCATGGAAATATTTCACTTCCCTATTAAACTTAAAAGAGAGTTTTGCAGGGTATATCAGTCTATGTTGGAATTTTCCTTCTTGAAGGACTTGAAGTACTTTGCTTCATGCTCTTCTTAACTTGATGGTTCGTGAAATATGATGTTTTTCTGATGGGTTTTCCTTTAAATGTGATCTGTTTCTTTTCTCTAGCAGCTTTCACTGTACTGTTTTAGTGCTGAATTTCTGGGATCTTGATTATTCCATGTCTCATTATGGTTTTAATTGGGTTGATGTTATTTGGAGCTCTATTTGTTTCACTCATCTGAATGTCAGATTGTTTCCCCATATTTGGAAAGTTTTCTGCTATTACTTCTGCCCATATTATTTTTATATTGTTTGCATTGACACTTTCTTCCTCATTGATGCCCATTAGTCTCACATTGCTCATCTTTGCATCATCTTGAAGATGCTGAATTATTTTTTCCTGCATCCCACTTGTTTTTAAGAGATCTCTTCTTACATTTTTACTAGCTGCAGTAGTGTCTTCAAGATCTGAAAGTCTATTTTCATTTTCTTTCAAATAGCTTGTGATTGAGATTTTAATTTCCAGTATATCTCTTTGAATCTGTTTCATGCATTCTGTTTTTTTCCTATATTGCTCATTGAAGGATTCCATCATTTTTTATTCTCTATTTTTTAGTGTTTACTTTAGAAGCATTTAGTAATTCTTTCATTATAGTTATCATTTCTTTTCTTACTTCAGAAATTATTTCTGCTCTGATTTCCTCTATACCTTGGTGCAGTTGTTTCTTTAGTTCAGATGCAATTATTTCAGACTTCTGGACTGTGGCTTCCAATCTCTTCAGTGCTATTTTCTCCTGAATTTGCTCTGGGTGGGCTCGGGTCCCAAGACTGCATTTTGCTCCTTCTCTTTGTGATTTTGTGTAGCACTGTCCTCTGACCTTTGGTGTAGAGCTCTTGTGTAGTAGTTACCTTAGCTCCTACTGATATTATTACCCAAAGGAGATTATGTGGTTAAGGCAGGTTCAGCTTTGTATTTACAGTACTACAATTAGTAACACTAATACTAATTAGCAATACTATTAGCAATTACTAATAATGGGTAGTAACGTTTAACAACTTTTTGTTATTAATAGTTTTGTATCTTAGATCATAAGATCTAATATTATGACTGTATAGCTAAGCAGATGTAAAATTGGGAATTTGTATTTAAATTAGTTCCCCTAAGATCTGTCTGATCACCTCCCCTTGATGTCCTTGGAGACTTCCAGGCAGACTTTTACCCCAGTTACCTGTTGCCCTCCCTCTCAATCAAGAAAAAAAAAGAGAATGCTCTCATAGATCTGGGTCTAGCAGTCTGTCTCAGCTTACCAGGTCTGGATCTACCAAGTTTGAACTTGACCAGCTTGGCCTGGCTTGGGTCTGGCTGTTGTGCTTAGCTTATTCCTGTTGTAACCCATGGAAGTGAACGCACTCTTCCCCACTGGAAGCTGTTCTGCTCCTGGATTATCTGGCCGTGTCTTGCCCATAGCCTCTCTGCTGGGAGTTCCACTGCAGGGCTCCACATCAGGCCTGACCATGTGCTGAAGGGAGGTACCAGAGGGCAGCAGGACCCTTGTGTCAACCTACATGCCAGGCCTTGCTGCTGGCTGGAGTTGGGAGGTGGGAGGTGGGAGGTGGGAGGTTCTGGTCCAAAAAAAATATTTTTCTGTCATCACTTCATAGAAATATGACTCTAATATTTCTGTATACATAACTGGGGAAATAATTATTCTATTATATAATTCAACAAATTAATTTCTAGATAACAGTTGTTGGAATTAACAGAATCTGATGTTTCTATAGACTATCACAATAGTTTCTTTGATATGTCCATATCTCATCTTAACCTCTTTCTGAAAACACACATGGACCATGATGGGGAGGGAGAAAGTACTTCAAAGTTTAGGGCTCCTGGTGAAGGTTGGTTTCTTTCTTTGCTTAACTTGACTTTCTTTAGAGATCTACTGGGTCACAGTTCAGTGCACTTTAACTCTTTTCTACAGATATACTTGTTTATTTCAAGCAAAGAAGTGAAACTAATCAACAATAATTACAAAAGAATAAAGTGTAAGAAGCCACTCAAATTATCCTTGCAAATAAAAATAAACAAAAATGCTGGTTTTTATCTGTTATCTTATTATTATATTTCACCATTCTTTCTTACTATTTTCTGTTCTATGAAAAACAGATAATTTCATATCTGTTGTCTGATCTGAATCTATTCTTATCTATCCTGAAGAGCAACATGTTATGGGGACCTATCCCAGAAGAGCAGTGAGGAGCAGTAGCAGGGGGCAAAAAGCAATCTGAATGGGCAGCTTTTGCACGTCTCCAACAATGTGATCTTGGTTAAGAAACTCAACTTCTCAGTCCCTTGGTTTCTTCTCAAAATGTGGACTTTTATTTCAAAATCATTTCCAGATTAGTACATGAAAGGTATGAACTCTCTCTCTCTTAAAAAAAGAAAGAAAAGGAACAACTATGCTAAATAATCATTAGATCTCTGCACATTTAATATTTTGAAACAAATGAGTATGCATGTAGAAACTTCTGAATCAAAAGGCATATATTTGTAACAATAGTACTTTAGGAAAGCACCTCATCTTCATATAATACATGGTAGCTATGATAACTCTTACAAAAATATTAGCACTAAAACTCAAGATGATTATGTATCACCATATTACTGAGAGGATGAAAGTCATGTTCTACTTTAAAATCTATTCTAAAAAAAAAAAAGCACTTGTCTTTAAAACCATTTAAACTTGAGGTTTTCATTATTAATGAAAGAAACAAATTGAGGAAACATTGTGTTCACATTTCTGGAAGCTTTTGAAGAAGCAGCTGTGATTTCTTTAGCCTTCCAAGTCTATTATGCAGGTTAGCAGTGTAGTTTATAATGAGTTCTAGACCACCTGCCTTTCTGAGGAAATTAATATAGAGATGGACTTTAGAGAAGTTGTTTTTTTGTTCTCCATGGCTATGTACAAGATTTTCCTGCTCAGTGACTTTGGGTGTGTCATAGAAATGTTCATTCAATGCTGTGCAGCTGAAAATTATTTTTTAAAGCACTGCCTAGATATGTTTTGGATAAATATTTATCTTGGTCAGTTTTGAGATTAAAACATATACTTCCCCAATTAAACAGTTAGTTCATTTAAATACAGTTTTATTTCAAGGTGATAAATACTTGTAATGAATAAAACAATATTTCAAAAGAAATTGGCTGTAGAACAAATCACTAGAATTTCAAAGTATTGCTTTAATCATTTTCCCTTTTTTCACCTCTCCAGGAGTTTTTTGACGGGTCATGGAGTCAGGAAGCAATAAAAATTTGGAGAATTCAGTGAAGAGAGTCTGTCATGACAAGCTTATTCCAAAAATAAAAACAAGCAAGAAAATGTCCACCTTAGCAAATTCTCCTACCACCCTGGAAGTGCCACCAGAGATGAAGAAAAAGTGTGGAGACAAACAAGTAGCACTCACACCTGAAAGAATAAAAATGGCAAAAAGCATCAAAGAGAAACAAAACAATGATTTAGAGAAAGTGGCTTTTAAACGGAAAGCAGAAGGTGAAGAAAAACCAGTAAAGAAGGAGGCAAAGATAATGGAAGTTGATAGTCAGTTAAGCACCATGCCTCTTCCTCACGTCCTTTTAAAGAACATAATGGACGTGGAAATGAAGTTGGTCTACATTGATGAAGAGGACGTGAAGTATGAATTTGTGGAGTCCTTCCTGTCTCCTGGGACTCAGCCAACCTGCCCAGCTGTGGAAATAGTGGACCCTTTGAGTGGATCTAATTCCACTTCTCAGCCTCAGATTGACAAGTGGCTTCAGGTAACCTTAAAGGATGCCAGTTCTTGCTACAGGCAAAAGAAATATGCAGTGGCCGCTGGACAGTTTAGGACAGCACTTGAGGTATGGGATTAAAGAAAATATAGATTGGTGACAAGAAGCCATGAAATGGAAAGTTGCAGTTACACTGAGTGGTCCTGATTATGTCATAATAAACAGTGATCATAAGGTGAAAACATTTAGTATCAAAATTAACATACATAAAATAAATAAGCTATGCCTGCAAATTAATACCCTTGCATTCACTTGACATACAGAAAGAGTCCTAAAAGTATACCTCTTGCTTTTTCTCTGTCAATAAACCCAACAGTGAATGGCAATATATATATATATATATATATATATATATATATATGCAGTTGGTTTTGCAATTTGACTGTACACCTGTATATAAAGCCATAAAATTTTAGTGCAACATTGTTAAGTAAACCATAGATGCTCTAGAAAAAAATGTAGTTAATGAGCATATGAACTGTTCCCTTTTGGTATGTCTCCTACATGAGTGAACAACCATCCTCACATTTTTAGCAAGGGCTAATCCTTTGTACATGATATTTACTACAATAAAATAGCACCATTTTACTTTACCATAAAACTTTACTTTCCTTTTTGTTCTAGTGAGCCTTATGCATAATTATTTTTGCATCTACATGCAGTTTGTCAATAGAATTTATTAGAATAACTTGCAAACTAAAATAAACTTATGAATCACCCTAAAACACAAAATAAGTCATGAAAAAAGTACCCACCCCTCACACACTGAACCTATACAGAAGAACTAAGATGTGTGACTAGAAGTCCCAGTAGCCTAGCAGTATTGGTAGCTGTGTATTTCATCAATTACTAAAACACATTTTACCTACTAAGCATTGGAGATATTAAAAAATTAATAAAGGCATGGTTCCCCTCCTCTAATAGTAAACATTTAAACAAAGGTGCGTTAAAGGGGTGATTGATACACAATGGAGGGGGGCAAAGGAGAGTCAGGTGTCAATGCGACATGCTATAGTGGAGGCTTATTAAAGTACTTCTTCATTGTTATTTGCAAGTTAAAATGACTAAATCTATAGTGATTTGTTAATGGGAAATACTAGTAATGCTGCCCCTAAATATTGGAAAAGAAACAAAGGGATGCCTGAATAGTTACGAAGTTATGAGGTAGCATATAAATAGATGCATCTAGAAACATTTCTGTTCTAAAGTGTTATCTATACACATAAGAGAAATGTAATTCACTAAGTAATCTTCTAAATGTTGAAATAAGTGCCGAGAAATCTGAGCTATCCGCCAGCCTCTGAGAAATCTTTCTACTGTCCTAAGAGATAGCGTCCAGCAGTCTCTGGCCAAGGAGATGATGCTAAGGAGAGACAGCATGACTACACCCACACATTCATGCATTTCTGCCAGGGCCATTTTTAGCTGATTCTTTTGGCCAATAGAAGAGAGTCATCAGTATAATTTGAAAGACAGAGAAAAATCATTATTTTAGCATTGAGAAAAGAAAAAACAAGAAATGATGTTATAAAATATCCAAATTAAGATTAGGTAGAAGCAAAAGATATTTGCACTAACTGAAAGAAAATATGCACTTTTCAATAAAATTCAGGATGCCTCTGTTTCTCTCTCTGTCTGTCTCTGTCTCTCTCTGTCTCCCCCCACCCTTCAATCCCCTCTTTCTTCTTCCTCCCTGGATTTTTGGAAAAGTGTTGGATGCTGACAATAATTACTGGTAATTAACAAAGGTAATTATTTTGAGACCAAAACTTAGCTTAGACATCTGGCCCAGCTTTATCTAATTATCTTGGGAGTTAACTTTGAAATTTTACCTAGAATGTCTTTTAATAAACCAAAGCTACTGAGAATAGAAAAGAATAGCTTCTTTTTAACTCTTCTTGTTCTAATAATACTTTCTGATGTTGATGTGTATTGTTTAATGTGTCTGCCTCTTTTCCTCATGTCCTAAAACAGCTTTGAGTAGGAAAGATAAATGAGAGACACAAGACATAATGAGAATGAGATCTGAAGGATAGATACACCCACAAATACTTAAGCATATACAAATTAGTGTTAGATTTAGCAGCAAATGAGAGGCAGAAATCGCAAAATGTAAGTGCCTGAAATAATCTAGAAGTTTATGTCTCTCTCTCATAGATGTATGTAGTCCAAGGCCGGTACAGTATTAGCACCAGGGGCCCTGGCTACATTTTGTTTCTTAAAGAGTTGCTGTGAACTCAGGACCCAAGATGGCTGCTCCTGGGAGTCATAGCATTGCAGCCAAAAGAGAAAAAGAGGAAGGAGAGACACAGATTGTCAAAGCATACTTCATAGAAGTTGCACCCACAATTTCCATTTCTTTCTATGGACCAGAGTTGGATATGTAGTCACACATAACTTTAAAGCGGACTAAGAAATACAGCTTTTCAGACAGCCCTGACACTCAGAAGTTCTGATACTAAGGGCAGAGAGAATGGATATTGAATAATATCTCTCTCGTGGAGTATTTATTATTTGGGAGGTGTTTTGCAGTATATAAAATGCTTGTCAAATGTGGGCAACACCATCAGCTGTAAGAGTATGGAGAAGACTAGATAGAGTTAAGGTAAGAGCAGAAAAATTAAATAGAAAAGTCAGAACCAGAAAAAAGACTTGGAGATATGTAAATATTTACTAATTGACATGATAATTTCTAACACATCCAATAAACCCTTTTTATATGTTAGCTTCTTTCTGCTCTTGACAAAATATTCAAAAGAGATAGGTAAATTTATAATAAGACTTCGTAACAATTAAGATAAAATGGTATGCAATGATTCAGAAGACAGTTAACTTCCACAATCAGTCAATATTTGTCTTTCAAGATTTCAGGAAATAGCTGGCATTTATTTAAATATGCTGCATAAAATAAATTATTATACCATATAAAGCTGAATAGTTAATTATATCATTCCTTAGGTCTATAACCAACATATCAGTTGTTCTCAAGTTTTATCTAATCAATCATTATTTTTTCCTGCATTTGTATTCAGATCAGAAGTCAAATCATTGACAGAAAAGGAATAAACTGAAGATAAAAATACAAATTCACTAATTTTATGCCTGAATGTTATTTCTTTGTAAGTTTTTAAAGATGACTGCCCAAAGCCACTAACTATAAAAATAGTAGGAGTTATTCAAGGGAGAGTACAAGATTAGACTCATATTTGTATACTAGACAATATGCACTACTGTTCAATAAATTATTTAGCTATCCATGAAATTTAAGGAAATATTAATTAACACAAATTCCAGATATACTTTCATGAATAGAAAAATAATAAGTATAAAGACTTCTAAGAGAATTTAATGGTCAAGCAGTGTAGTAATCAGACATTTCTTGTAACTTCTGTGGAAAATGAATTATCAAAGATTTTCTACACTTGTACCGTACAACCTAGACGGATACCACCATTTCAACTCTAGTCATGGAAGTTTAGTAATTAAATCTTCTATTTTTTTAATTAGAACAGATCTATACACACCCTTGAAAACTCACAGCTTCGAACAATTCTATTCAAGCTGTCAAAAAAAACAGAGCAAGGCTTAGCCCTTTCCAACTGGAACTTTCAATTCTTATTTCATTATACAGGAATGAATTCCTTGAGGTGCTAATCTTTTTAATATCTTGGTGCTGTAGTCACTGATCTGTAAAGTTAAAGTAATAACTCATGCTAGAGAGCTCTTTCTTTGTGCCAGGTATTATGGTTTCCATTCAGAAAACATTTATGTTCATTATTTGGTTTTATTGTCACAACAAGCCTACAATTTTTATTTCATTGCTAATGAAGATAAAGGACAGACAGGTCATATAACTTACTCAAAGACCCACACCTAGAAGTGCAAGACCTGAACCCAGGTAGCCTCATATCATAACTACCAGCCTCACCACCATGACTTGGTTGATAATACAGTGTGACCCAGGCCATTCGTGGTCTACAGAATTAGAATCTACATCCAACAGACTCTAGTCAGCCTTGTATATATTTCAGTTTGAAAAATATCTCTGCTCTGTCCCACACTGAACAACCAAAATACTATATTTTGGATCTTGAATATCTCCTAAAGGCCTGTGTGTTAAAAGATTGATCCCTTGGGTGGTGCTTTTGGGAAATGCTAGAGGTGAAGACTAGTGGAAGGTATTTTAGGTCATTGGGCCATGCCTTGAGGAAGACTGAGGAATTCCCCACCCAGATATCTTTCCCTTTTGGTCCTTGGTTCATGATGTAAGAAGAAAGTTGCTCCAGCCCACAAGACCATTGTAATAGTGTCTCTATTCACAGTCCCATAACAAAGGAGCTGGCAGTCATGGGTTAGAGCCTTCAAGACTGGGTGCCAAAAGAAACATTTTCTCTTCATAAGTTTGTTATCTAGGATACCATATCATATTGCCAAAAAGCTGATTAACATGTGTATCCTCCATCTAATACTTTATCATTTGGCCTCTAGTGCTCTTCTATCTCCAATAGTATTTTCATAGGAATGAATTTCCTTTAAAACAGCCATTCCAATAACAATGTTTCAGAATTTTGGGACTTCAAGGACCTAAAAATTTCTTTCTTAAAAAATGTGTGTTAGGGAAAGCGGATTGATATTTCATTTATATTGTGCAAAAACATAAAAATTGCTATTTACCATCATTATTCCATAAGATACAGAGCAGTTTAACACAGAAAATTGGGAAAAAAGGAAAAGGTTATACTTTCATAATAAATAAGGTTTTAAAAATAAATTACATTTTAATTTTATAGAAAGCTTACTAAGCTATCCTTAATTTTCATTTCCCCTTGAATTGCTAAAACACAGCTCTGAGAATCAACTTTGTAGAATTATTGTTCTAGAACACATTCCCTTTATGGTAAACATTAGGTATCCAAGACTATTGAACCCGCACCAGGGGCTTCTTATAAGATTACTTCCAGTGTAATGGAATTTGGTATGAAGCAGGTCCATTTTGGAGCCCATTCAAGGGGGTTTATTTAATGAAGTAGCAAAGATATCTCATTATGGGGCAGCCTCACCTATAATTG